ACACACACACACACACACACACACACACACACACACACACACACACATATTGTTAGGATTAATGAGTCCTGGCCTTCAGCTGGATGTTGGAACTAATGAGTTCTGGCCTTCAGCTGCTCTTTCCTCCTAGACCCTTCTAATTAAAGTTACTAGAAGCTGTGCCTAGTTTAGAGGATCAGAGGATGGGATTATCACCTGTTGGTCATTGACTGCAGTGTATTTAAGCCTACATGGTGTTAATAAAGAGGGCTTTCTGAACCAGCGCTTGGGAGGCCCGTGTGTCAGTCTGTCTCTGTGTGCGTCGGTTTGTCTCTGAGTGTGTTTTCTCAACCTCCAGCCCCTTGCCCGAAGCTCGCTAACTGGGTTCTAGCGCACAGAGTGCAGACACGGGGGCGCAGTGTGCGGCACACACAATCACACACATAGAGAGAGAGGAAAAAAGAGAGAGAGACAGAGAGAGAGGGTGAAGAGGGGAGGGAGGGAGGGCGGGTGGGAGAGAGAGAGAGAGAGAGAGAGAGAGAGAGAGAGAGAGAGAGAGAGAGAGGGCACCCCAGGGCTCAGGCTTCATTAAGTAAAGGAGAATAGGACGATTTTAAGACTTTACAGGTGGTGGTTGATAACAGGAAAACTGTTTTCTGATCACAAAAGGGCAGGAGCACATGTGAACTCATAGCGATTAGGACAGCATGCACATGACATCCTGAAGCTCAAGCCAAGATGAAATTGCACATGGATGTGGGGAGGTGGCCATGAAGTCCCACCACTAGCTGAGGAGTTCCTGGCAATGGATAACTGCTGAGAGTTGAGAGGAAGTTTTCTTTAAGTCCCTGGCAGGTGGACCATGCTCCAGGGCATGCCTCTCACTGGAGAGTATTTGAAGAACACAGATGGGTCTGGGTTGGTTTTGAGACAGGCAGGTGGGAGAGTTGTGTCCGTGAGTGAGGGGATGAATCTAAGAGAACTTGGAGGATGGAGTTTACATAGGCTCAAAATAGGTTTTGTAGGAATTCTCCACCTTTCTACAGACATGTGTTTTCATATCTGTAGTATCAAGATATTCTTACATATTTTGTAGCTATACTTTTGGCACAGAGATATGTATCACTTGTGTGATTGCTATGTATCTGGGAGGAGGAATCTAGTGACACAGTTCCAAAGGGAATGGGGTTTTGCTCCTTGTGGTATTTTCTTTGAACTGAGGTTTACATTTGCTGCTAATAATATACCCAATCCTGTTTTTCTTTGACTAATACACAATATTTTTTCCATTAATTTTCTTTTGCTATATAATTACATTTCAAATACTTTCTTTTTAGCACAGAGACAGTCTTTGTATTTCAAATAAATCTATTTATATTTTATGTAATTATAGTTATGCCAAAGCCTGTCTGACATTTTAATGATATTTTTTATTACTTTGTTTTTTGTTTTCTTTATATTCTGCTTCATGTGAATTATCTAATTTTTAGAAATCTACTTTTGCTTCCTTTACATTTTACTTCGACATAACTTTATTTTATACTTTTAAAACTGTTATATTATATTATATATGTAATCAGTGGTGTTATATTATAAACTCAAGTAAAATAGTAAATTCCCTTTATATCTCTTCACTCCGTTCTATTAATAATATTTTAATAACATACCTCTTTTATCCTTTTGTTGAAAATTGATTTTTTTTCCTCTCTTAAAGCATCCTGATTATGTTTCCCTCTCTCCCTGTTCCTCCCAGTTCTTCCCTCATCTCCCTTCTCATATACTCCCTCTCCATCTCTTATTATAAATGAACTGACATCTGAGAGATAATACTAAATATAACACAATAATTGCATTCGCAATGAAATAAAGCAAAATCTATAACAGTGGGGTTGGACAAGACAAACCAACAGAAGGAATAGAACCCAAGAGAAAGAATAAGAATCAGAGACCTAGTTGTTCACACTCTCAGGAATCCTATAAAACACTAAACTGCGAGTCATAATCTGCATATATGCAGAGAACCTGGTACAGACTCATGCAGGTCTCTCATGCAGGCTCTAAATTTTGGAGAGTCTTGTTTTCTTGATGTTCTCCATTCTCTATGGCTCTTAAACTCAGCCTGCTCTTCTGCAGGATTCCCTGAGCTCTGAGAGGAGAGATTTAAGGGAGACCTCCACTGAGGGCTGAGTATTTAATGTGTCTCACTCTCTGCATAATGTCTGGCTGTGGGTCTCTGCATCTTTTCCTGACTGCTGCAGGAAGAGGCTTCTCTGATATGGCTGAGCAAGGCACTAATCTCTGAGTAGAACTGAACATCGTTAGGAGTCATTTTACCACTCCTCTTTTTTCTACCAGTAGTATTGAATATCCTGTTTCACACTTGGTCCCTAGGCTATCTAGTGTTTGGTTCTTGGTAACTCAAGTACTATAGGGTACCAGTTCCATCTCACGCTTGGACCTTAAGTCAAATCATATATTGAAAGGATGATTGCTCTTGCTTTATGTCACCTTGAACTATCATATCTTGCAGGCAGGGAAGGTGATAGATGAAAGGGTTTGTGGTTGTGTTGGTGTTTATGTTTCTCTCTTGGTAGCATGCAGAGTACCTTCCTGTACCAAAGATGATAGAAACTATTGGAAGAGATTATGGGAAATAGCCTTAAGCTCATTAGGATGGGAACTTTCTGAACAGACACCATTAGTATAGTCACTAAGATCAACAATTAATAAGTGGGACCTGATGAAACTGGGAAGCTTTTGAATGACAAAGGACATCAACTTTAAAACAAAATATTGGCCTACAGAATGGGAACTTTTTTTATCAATTATACAACCTGTAGAGGGCTAATATTCAAAATATGTGAAGAACTCAAGAAATGATATCTCAAGAAAACTATAATCCAATTTAAGATGGTGGTACAGATATAAACTATAAACAGAATTCTCAATAGAGGAAACTCAATGGCTGAAAAACACATAAGGAAATGTTCCACATCCTTAGCCATCAGGAAAGTATAAATCAAAACTGCTTCTAGATTTTTATCTTAAACCTGTCAGAAAGGCTAAGATCAATAAAAACAAGTGACAGCTCATGCTGGTGAGGACAGGCATAAAGGGAGCAATCATTCATTTATGGTGGGAGTGCAAACTTGTAAAGCCACCATGGAATTGTTGTGGCTGTTCCTTGGGAAGATGGGAATCGACCCACCTCACATCCAACTATGTAACTCTTCTGTATATGCCCAAAGGATGCTCCATCCTACCAGAGCAACACTTGCTCATCTGTTTTCACTGCTGTTCTAGTCATAAACCAGAAATTAGAAACAACCTAGAAGTCCCTCGATGGAAGAATGGATAAAGAAACTGTGGTACATTTACACAATGGAATATTTTTCAGCCATTAAAATATAACATCATGAAAATTTGCAGGTAAATGGGTAGAACTATAAAAATATCATCCTGAGTGACGTAACCCAGATCTAGAAATGCAAATACGACATGAATTCATTTACATGTGGATAATAGTTCTTAAATCATTGATAACCAAGTGACAATCCAAAGAACCACATAGGATAGGGTATAGAGTAAGAGACTAGTAGATATGATCTCTTTAGGAAAAAGAAAGAAAATACATAAATATGAATGGATGGGGAAGGGCTGGAACAGGAGAATTAAATATTTTCTTTACCTAATTTAGAAGTTCTTTATATTGAATTATTCTTTATTCATGACATTGGGGTATTTCTATTCAAAATAATTGTCTTTAGTAGTTTCCATCTGAGAATGTCTTATTTGCCTGTTAATTTCTAAAGAGAGTATTTTCTCAATAGAAACCCTAGTTTAGTAGATTTGCTTTCTTTTAGCGTTTGTGAGTCATAGTGACTTTTCCTTTGTATTTGTTTACCTTTGTGTGTTGAAACCCCACAACACACAGACACCGAAATATATCCCTGCTGTATCACTTATTCCTCTTTGATATATAAAATTAAAAATTTAATTTTGATGTGTCTTCACACAGGTTTCTTTCAACTTGTACATTGAATTTATTGTATTTTTTATTGTTTATTTCCTCATCCCAATTGGGTTTCAGTCATTCCTTCCTGTTGCTTAAATATATTTTTTAGTTTGTTCTCAAGATACCTGCAATATGAGGGTTAGGTGCTAGTTTCTAGTTTCACACTTCCGTGAAGCTGTTCAATTTTCTTTTAGACTAATATTATTCAGATTTCAGCTTGGAGACACCATAATTGTTAGCCTGGAAATTCAGCTATTATTTAATCAGTTTTAAGAATTCTACAGTGGGTGAGCCGAGGTGCTGGCAGCCTGGGAAGGAGGACTATGAAGCTTCCTAACATCCTGCTCACCGGTACATCAGGGGTGGAAAAACCCACACTGGTCAAAGAATGTACATCAAGATCAGGACTGAAGTACGTTAATGTGGGAGATTTAACTCAGAAGGGGCAGTTATATAATGGCTATGAAGAAGAGTACGGTTGTCCCATTTTAGAGGAAGACAGAGTCGTTGATGAGCTAGAGAATCAGATGAGAGAAGGAGACATTATTGTTGATTACCATGGTTGTGATTTCTTTCCTGAACACTGGTTTCATATAGTTTTTGTGCTGAGAACAGATAATAGCATACGGTACAAAAGACTTGAAACACAGGGTTATAATGTGAAGAAACTACAAGACAACATTCAGTGTGAGATTTTCCAAGTTCTTCTTTATGAAGAAGCCAGAGCATCTTACAAAGAAGAAAGTGTACATCAGCTGACCAGTAATGAACCAGAACAGCTGGAGGATAACATCAACCAGATCTCAAAATGGATTGAGCAATGGGTCAAAGATCATAACTCTTGACTTAGAGACAGGTTAGCCAGGCGTGGTGGTGCACACATTTGATCCCAGATTCTGGGAGGCAGAAGCTGTTCTACATAGTGAGTTCTAGGCCCACAGGGCTATGTAGTTATTAGGACTCTGTCTCCAAGGGAGTGGAGGGGAGGAGAAATCAGCCAGGCCCCAGTACAGCTACCCTTATTAATATCACTCAGGCATGTAACAGAATGCCCAAGGATCAGCAGAAAAAAAACTGTTACAGTTCTAGTTGCTAACTTGATTTCTTTTTCTCCATGAGAAAATTTAAATAATCTCAGATACTACTATAAATTGTTTTATTAAAGATTGAACCATAAAAAATTAACTCAGTGGATAATAAATCTGATCAATAGGTACATATCTTTTAAATTTACTAAAATGTCAGTGATCTCTTACAATAAAAATGAAAAACTAAAGATGAAAAAAACAAAAAAGGAATGCTACAGTGAGGCAAATTTACTGAATTCAACAGTGAAAATAATTCTAAGTGTTTGGGTTTTCAATTCTAAGTTTGCTGGGTCTATATTCTTTTGTTATTATTTGTTGAGATAATCTATTTGTTGTTGTTTTTGAAGCATTTTCTTCTGTTTGCTGGAAGCCTGCTTGTAGCAGCTTATAGAAACTGTGGGTTGCTTTAAAACTTAATTCATATTTTATTTGTTGTTTATAGGTGTTTTACCTGCATGTATTTACATACAGCTCTCTCATTCTGGTGCTGAAAGATGCCACAAGAAGGTGTCAGATTCCCTGGAACTGGAGTTACATACAAAAGAAGCCAGGTAGCACAGTAGACCACTTCCTAGGTAGAACCCAGGTAGCACAGACAATAAGAGCAACAATGAATAAATGGGACCTCCTGAAATGAGACACTTCTCTAAAGCAAAGGACATTGTCATTAAGACAAAAAGGCAACCTACTGATTGGGAGAAGATCTTCACCAACACCTCATCAGACAAAGGTATGATCTCTAAAATATATAAAGAACTCAAGAAACTAGGCACTAAAACTCTAATTAACCCAATTTAAAAATGGGGTACCAAACTGAACAGAGAATTTTCAACAGAAGAAGTTCAAATGGCAAAAAGACACTTAAGGTCATGCTCAACCTTCTTAGTGATCAGGGAAATGCAAATCAAAACAACTTTGAGATACCATCTTATACCTGTCAGAATAGCTAAAATTAAAAACACCAATGACAGCCTATGCTGGAAAGGATGTGGAGTAAGGGGAACACTCATCCATTGTTGGTAGGAATGCAAACTTGTGCAGCCACTTTGGAAATCAGTGTGGCAGTTTCTCAGGAAACTGGGAGTCAACCTATCTCAGGACCCAGCAATTCCACTCTTGGGAATATACCCAAGAGATGCCCTATTATACTACAAAAGCATTTGTTCAACTATGTATTTGTAATAGCCAGAATCTGAACACAACCCAGGTGCCCCTTAATAGAAGAATGATTAAAGAAGGTGTGGAACATATACACATTAGAGTTTTACTCAGCGGTAAAAAACAATGACATCTTGAATTTTGCATACAAATGGATGGAAATAGAAAACACTTTGCTGAGTGAGGTAACCCAGACCCCAAAAAAGGAATATGGTATGTACTCACTCATAAGAGGATTCTAGCCAAAATTAAAGGACATTGAACGTATAATTTGTGATCCTAGAGAAGCTAAATAAGAAGGTGAACCTGAAGAAAATCATGTAGTTATCTTCCTGGATATTGGAAGTAGACAAGATTGCCAGGCAAAACTTGGGTGCGCGCGAGTGTGGGGGTGGATGTAAGGGGAGATGGATAGAGAGAAGGGAGAAGGGGAGGATTTGGGAGAGCTTGGGGGAATGGGATGGGTGGGATGGAGGAAGGGTAGACATGGGAGCAAAGAAGTAAATATCTTAATTAAAGGAGCCATTTTTGAGTTTGCAAGAGACTTGATTCTAGAGAGGTTCCCAGGTCCAAGGAGAGGTCCCCAGATTGTTCCTTGGGCAGCAGAGGAGAGGGTGCCTGAACTGGCCTTGTCCCATAGCCACACTGATGAATATCTTGCATATCACCATAGAACTTTCATCTGGCGATGGATGGAGATAGAGACAGAGACCCACAGTGGAGCACTGGACTTAGCTCCCAAGGTCCAAATGAGGAACAGAAGGAGCTAAAACATGATCAAGGAAGTCAGGACTGCAAGGGAAGTGTCCACCCACTGAAATGGTGGGACTGACCTAATGGGAGCTCACCAAGGCCATCTGGACTGGGAGTGATGGAGCATGTGATCAAACTGGACACTCTGAATGTGGCTGACAATGAAGGATGACTGAGAAGTCAAGGGTAATGGCACTGGGTTTTGATTCTACTGCATGGACTGACTTTGTGGGAGCCTGGTTTGTTTGGATGCTCACCTTTATAGACCTGGATGGAGGGAGGAGGACCTTGGACCTCCCACGGGGCAGGGAACCCTGATTGCTCTTAGGACTAGATAGGGAGGGGTAGGTGGGTGGTTGGGAAAAGAAAGGCAGGGAGGTGGTAGAAATTTTAAATAAATAAATAAATAAATAAATAAATAAGAAACACACAAAAAAGAAAATGAAGAGATAAGAAAGAAACATTTTGGGATGATTATGTGAGTACAGAAGAAAAAGAACATTTAAGAAAACTTTGAGAAGTTATTATGAATAATTAGTGAGTTGTATTTATTCTTAACTCACAAAGTTCTATTTTTCATCATTTCTATAAAATAAAGGAATACTTAAAATAAGTTCCTTGTAGGTGCTGGTAATTAAAACCAGTTCCCATTTAAAAAAATCAGTATTCCAAGCCATCTCTCCAGTCCCCTCATTCCATCATTGGAACTGTTTGTTTTTTTTTTTAAGTACAGTTATTTTAAGCCATGCCAAACATCCAGGACTTTAGTGTAAACTGACTGTATTTTTCAGTGTATTTTGAAATACTTTGTGCTGCTGAAATGAAATAGTAATTTTCCTACAATCTCAATTTTTCTTTTTTGCTTTGAAACTCTTGATCTTTTTCATGGTTTGTTTAAGTTCGTTCTGCCTTCCACCATCCCAACAGAACCACGTGATCACTGCCGAGCACACACAGAGGTGAAGACTTCCTCTGCTAAAGGGAAAGGAGAGCTTCTTCCTGCTGTGGGCAGGGTGGAACATTCTGGCTTCTCAAGTGGTCTCTACTGTCACTGTGATGTCTCTCAGATTGCTCACAACTAGATGTCAGCTTTGCCACAACCAAGGACAAGAAATAAATGGTTTGAGAGTAGGATAGAATGAATGGGCAGGTGTTCTAATTATCTTGATTATTTTCTCCTAGGAGAAGAACCATGTTGTTAGTCAATAAGGACAAAATTCTTGTGTGTTAGTTTGATGCTATTCTCTACTATTACCTAATATTGATCCTCCCAAATACCTAACTGAATCATTTTATTTTCTCTCTCTTTATACATAAACGTATGTGTCAACATACATAAATAAACCATATATACATATTCAAAATCTGACTAAAAAATAGAAGAAAAGTATGCCTCATATTTTTTAAAGTAATCAATGTTTAATTCAAATATCTGAATAATTTATAGGTAAAAGGTAGATATAGATGTTGATGCTATAGATATGGGCATAGATATATCTCCAAGAAAGCATTCCATTGGAAAATTCTTTGTATGGTTTTCCATCAGTACCAGACCAGCCTTGAGAGACTTTTGTATCTGCATTTATTACTGCTGAGTGGCAGCACCCTTTAGCTCAAAACTGGGTACTCAAGTCAAAAACAAATTTCTGAGAATTTGATACCCTATTTCTCAAGACCTTCACCCAGTGGCTCAGTTCTCTATACCTTTTCCCGCTATGTTTGTTTGAGAAATAATGCCCATGATCTAGAGTTTTGATTCTCAAGAGAAGCAGAGAAGAGACTACTTACTTTATCTTCATAAAATAGAGCTGGGTTTTAATATTCTTTCAGACTTTGACAATAAACCATTGCCCTAGTCTGAAAAACTTATTTAAGAACTAAATATAAATCTCTATTAGTGTCTTCATTGTTGTCTAAGTTCTCTGGGATTATGATTTTTAGGCTAGTTTTCTTTGTTTTATGTTTAAAAACTACTAATGAATGAGTACATGTGATAATTGTCTTTCTGTGTCTGGGTTACCTCACGCAAAATGATGTTTTCTAGCTCCATCCGTTTTCCTGCAAAATTGAAGATGTCATTATTTTTTTCAGCTATGTAGTACTCGATTGTGTAAATGTACCACATTTTCCTTATCCATTCTCTGGTCAAGGGGCATTTAGGTTGTTTCCAGGTTCTGGCTATGACAAACAATGCTGTTATGAACATAGTTGAGTACATGTCCTTGCAGTATGATTGAGCATCCTTTGGGTATATACCCAGAAGTGGTATTACTGGGTCTTGAGGAAGGTTGTTTCCTAATTTTCTGAGAAATTGCCACACTGACATCCAAAGGGGCTGTACCAGCTTACATTCCCACCATCAATGCAGAAGTGTTCCCTTTTCTCCACAACCTCTCCAGCATGAGTTGTTATCAGTGTTTTTGATTTTGGCCATTCTTGCAGGTGTAAGATGAAATCTCAGAGTTGTTTTGATTTTCATTTCCCTGATGACTAAGGATGTTCAACATTTCCTTAAGTGTCTTTCAGCCATTTTAGATTCCTCTGTTGAGAGATCTCTGTTTAGGTCTGCACTCCATTTTTTTTTATTGGATTATTTGTTCTTTTGATGACTAATTTCTTGAGTTCTTTGTATATTTTGGAGATCAGACTTCTGTCTGATGTGGAACTAGTGAAGATCTTTTCCAATTCTGAAGGATGTCGTTTTGTCTTTTTGATTGTGTTCTTTGTTTTACAGAAGCTTTTTAATTTCAGGGGGTCCCATTTCTTAATTCTTTCTCTCAGTGTCAATGCTGCTGGAGTTATATTTAGGAAGTGGTCTCCTGATGTAGGAGGGCTTCTATCTATCA